TGCACACAAAACAACAGCGACAATGAGGGCTATCCTGTCAAGACCAAATGATCAACTACCAAAGGACGATAGCCCAAACGTCGTATACAAACTGAAGTGCCCAGACAGCAACAAATACTACGTGGGACAAACCAGCAGAATGCTCAAGACACGACTCCACTAACATACATTGGCGGTCAAACGACGCGAGGAGAAATCACAAATCTCAATCCACATGAATGCTGAGAATCATTTCTTCGAACTGGACAAAGCAAGAATAATCGCGGGAGGACCCACCAAGTCAATACGGAACGGATAGTATAAATAAGCACAGAACTAGAACCTATCTATCATTATCAAAGGAGACACTGGTAACCCGAGACTGCCCCTAGAACCGGTCCAAAACCAGTTCTAACCGGTTCAAAACAGGTTTGCGGTCGCCCTAACAAACCTAGTCGACTAATGAAAAAGGATAGTTACCATGACAACGGAACAGACAATCAAATCACAGCAAACGATTGCTATTCACCAATAGGATTAAAGGTACACAAACAGCCAATCACAACCCTCAAACAGAACTATATAAGCCATGTCCCACTGGGGATTGGCGCTTCCTCGAAGTCGCACTGATGATGTTGCCTAGCTTGGCTACGAAACGTCTGCGAGTAACACTTCCTGCTCGGAGAACTCACCAACACCAACATCCGCATCCCAAGCTACAATCATTCCACATAATTTCAAACTTAGAGTTGATATATCTGGGAACGGTGTGCGCATGCAATTTTCGAAGGGTGAGTTTTTGTGAATGAAGAAAAAACAACTCCATCTCTTTTGGGGCGCATCCGGTGTGGTAATGGTTTTTGTGCCCGGTCCGAGACTACTCGGTCCAGAAACTTTCACACAATTGTTTGACAACTTATCAAGGGAATTGATTTGGAAATTAACAATCAGTTCAGTTCAGTGGGGGGGGAGAAGAGATTCACACATTATCCAGATCCTGGTGGCATGAAACAAGAACCGTTGTTAGCCATTACAAGACCTACCTTACCCCGTGTATGAACTTGATAATTGTTATTATGTCGGTCATGGATGAATGCGATTCCCGCACGGCATGTCTAAGTGCTCCTCAACGAAGTCCCATTGTTTGACACTGTGTGTGACCTTTCGACAACTGGTCGAACACACGCAGACACTTATAAGTTCACCACAGTTACCTTAAACGCATTCACTCCCACCATGTTTGGGCCTTTAAGTAATAAATTTGTATAAGTATAAATTTGTACACCCAAGGTAACCAAGTATTTATTATTTCAGTTTGATTACCAGAGGTGAAAAATGATTCAGTTTTCCATGTTTTAAATGCACCAACACTGAAGAACGTAATTTCGGCCGGTGGTCTGTCGTAGGGAAGTAATAAAGGAAAACCCACAATGGTTGTTTTCGGGTACTCGGATATACACCGGCCGGAGGATCTCTGTTCCACAAGCCCGGTGCAATTTTTCATGCTAATTCCGTTACTTCATTTTTTTCATTAGTGACGGACAGTGCTGACTGTCAATTGATATGAAATGACTTTCTAAAGGTCGAGCAATTCAAGAATCGATCGATCACCATTCGACTTTTTAAATGGATGCCTAATTTCTCACTGGTCTTGAAAATAAAGTGAATTTTTTCATCTTCGAGATGTCCAGTATGGAATGGAATGTTGAATCATAGGGTGACAAAACTGTCTCACCTATTTTAAGTATTACGACATGTCAATTCTGCCTGCTATTCTAAGAAACAGAGAGAGAGAGAGTCTAGCATTGTTCTCGATTCGGCAACAGGAAACAGTAACGAATTGATCGACCTAACAATTTTCACATCGCCTCAGGTGCCACATTACATTTCTGCACACTGGCACGTTTTACACATCGACGTCGGTAATTCACTGTCATCTTGTCAACGTAGTGCAGATTCGCTGGTTTTCTTTTTCATCCATACCGTACTGCGTCATTGGATGGTTTTGATGTACCGACTGTATGGAATTGCATTCACTCACTCGTTTTCACACGTATGTAGTAAGTGACGCATACTATAGAAACTAGCTTGTCTTACATTCACATGTCTCTATTCTTCCAGAGCATCTGTGATGATTCTCGGCAATAGGATTGTAAACGATGCCTCCAGTTCTATGCACTCGTTTTGCTTTAGATCACCGTACCTCTAGTTGTGGCACGTCTAAACACAACTGGAGACTCTACGATTCTCTGTCCAGATTAGATGACGTAATAAATTACGATTATCCTCCTTGCTTTCTCTCTCTCGTATTCCAGACAATTGTCCTACTCGGCTCGTCCATATTTCTTCTGTTGTTAACCATACTGGAGGACTACTATGCTTCGCTGGCCTGTATGGCTATGGCACTGGCTTGTCTCGGATTCCATTGCAGTGGTATACTGCTCAATCCGCAGGATTTGGCTCCAAACCATGGTGGTCAATTGTACGGTAAGTTCAATTGGGCACGCCTATACACACACACACACGTCCGCATCACGCTTGTGCAAGTTTACTTTGTCCACTTTTCTGGTTCCGTGTTTTATGATTTACACACGTTGTTATGATCGTGTGCAAACAGAGATGTGGTGTATATTTTACAATAAATAGTATATGAATGACAGGACCAATTTTTCCTGAAAGTACCTGACCGATTTCGCGGTTCTTGTCGCTCGTCAGGCATGCGTACCCGGTAGTCTAGAGCGTGCACTGTACAAAAGCTTAGGTGGCATCCATGCGTGAGTTTTCGAATCGAGACTACTGAACTTTTCACAATCCCAACATAAATACGGAGGATTGTTGAGACATGTGATACCGTTCTTCTTCATTGTGATCGTTTATTTTGAATAGCAGCAGCAAATCTAACATGTCTAGCAACAGCAATTGTATCTGTTTATTTGTGTGTGTGTGTGTGCGCGATTACCTTAGCATCACTAACTTTGCTCAGAGACTCATGTGCCTATTGATGACCCCCATCGTGTGCAAGACAGGTTCCTCTCAATCCTGTACCACATCACAAGGAGTAAGTAAGACGACAGTGTAGTCCGTGTGAAATAATCTCTGGTCTCGTCCCTCGTTTCCGCTTTCCTCCAGTCAGTGGACAAAATACTAAAATACTGTACGGTGCAGTTTCAACCAGGCATCTAAAACTAGTTCCCTAGGACTACTGCTACTACTACTACTACTAATGCCTCCTCGTTGGCAAGTTTCTTCTGATCCACATGGCTCGTGCTACCAAGCCCTCAGGTAATGCTGAACCAAATGATCGGGTACTAATGTTTTTCTTGATTAGACCAAGTGTAACATTAAAAATAAAATCTGATAGGCGAAACAAGCTATTTTTCGATAAATTCCTCAACTGGCCATTTAGTATTTGTATAGATAGAGCATTTAATATTGTTTTATCCTGTTGGAGGTGGATGTTATTACCCTGTGTACAAAGCGATGCTACGTGCATCAACAATTTGATTGAGCCTCTCCTTGGTGACGACGTTCTTCCGGTTACCACGCTCGCATCGGTTGGTCGCTTGGCGACTAGTCATGGTAGAGATAATGTGTCTGGACAGTACGCTTCTGATTGTAAAGTGTGTGGGGTCAAACAGTTTAGTCACAATCGCTTCAGCCGTGCACAGAAAGATATAAGCGTACGGATTTAGATGATGATGATGATGGAATACGATAAACTATTCTGAACGTTGGACTTACGTCCACTTAGTGATGACTTTCGAGGCGGTATTGACATATCGCGTTTCTCTTTGCGCTAGCCATCGAGGGTGGTGTTCCTGTATTCTCTTTGACAATTGTCTTGTTGTCCGGCCTATGTAGCTCGCTCCACGGAAGCAAGTAAACAAATAGATGCACATGGATATAGCGTGAGGGGAAACGAATTTCAGGTGGTCTGGAGGAACTGATGCTTAGTGTTACCGTGGTGAACGTTTTCCTTGGCGTTTGGTTTACTGTTTATGTAACCCAGTCAGCCACCTTGTCACCGTTGTACGGTAATTGCAGGTACAAGGATTTTCTGTTTATTATACTCACTACTGGTTCCTCCGTTGTTTCTGTTAGGTGTTTGTCAAGAAAGCGATCCGGATAGCCATTCTCTCGTAGTGTGTTACTTATTTGCATTCGTTTTGTCGATTAGGATGTTCGGAGTGCAGATTCTCTGTGCCTGTCTCGCTAGGCAGTGAACCAAGTTTCTCTTTTTCCGTTTAATTGGTGCGAAACTATTGAAATTAGTGTATTTTCCTGTTGGTTTCCTGTGGACGTTCCATCTGGGTTCCTACGGATAAAGACATATAGAAACGGGATGCAATCGTTCGTTTTCTTAGATATTTTAGCTTATAGATCGATGTGCATTGTTAAATCATATCGATATTCCATCCAAGTTCCATTTCCATTGGTAACGAGGAATATATCCTTAATGTATGTGCACTACATTTTCAAATCCTCTATGATCGGTCAGAGGCTGGTGTTCTCTAACTTACTCTTGAATATACCGGCCAAAAGTGGACTCAAAGGTTAACCCATAGCATGTGATCAACATGAAGTGGAAAGAATAGACTACGCCAAGTATCGTTAAAAAAAATTTGGTTATCAAAGCGCCGACCTCACGGAGTTCCAACCTCCAGCAGGTTCACATCAGTGATAGCTACTCACACCACTTGATCACCAGCAACACCTTATGCTGTAGCGCTCAGAATAAGCTGGAACATTTTTTCGTATGTTGCGTTACTCACTTTTGTCTCGCTAATCAAAGAGCAGCGGTTCAGAAAAAAAGAAGACTATCATTCATTCGTAAACGATCAGTAGTCTATTGCTAGGCTCTTCTTTCGAGCTCATCATCACGTTCTTCACTGTTTAATTTAACTTCAGGTGTTATGGCTACTGTCGGTACCATTCCGGGCTTTTTCGGAGTTTACTTGGCCGGCTATCTGTTGGATCTCACGCATCAATGGTCCGTGGTTTTCGTTCTGACGTCTGTCCTCAGTCTGATCGGCTGGGTCGCTTATACCTGTTACGGTTCGGCTGAACAGATTCTGTGAATATTCTCTTCCGCATTCCCGTTCTCCGTCAACTGGTCCAATTCAATTTATTCAGAAGCACTGAATTGATATCACCCTTGTGATACTTTCGGATATGGAACAAATAGCCTCCGACTGAACTGTAGATGCATATCGATCTGAGAGGCTTATTTTTTTGCATTTTCTGCCCCTCCCCCCACCTCCCTTTTCCCCTCCCTCGTCATCCCTGTCCCTTCTCGAACCTGGCAAGTCGCATCCATTCATTTCTTCCAATAGTTTGCCCTCATTTTTCGTATCTATTTTAACACGGTTTGCACCACTCTTGCCTTTTGCATTCTACTTCATCTCCTATGTTTCCCATCCGTTTGATCCCAGCCGTACTGGCTGCCTCCCTCCCGCTCTCACACATATTCGTTCCTGTTCAACCAGTCTGTCTCAGGACTTTCTCGGTGGTGTTAATCAACCGGGGGCATGCATTGCACGGTTTTCGTTTACTGTGATACACGATGCGTTTGTACTGGGAGACACCGATTCTGGCTAGTTTGAATACCAGCTGTTTTCTCGTTTCGAGCACAAACAATTCGTCAGACAGGATCGCCAATTGCCTTGTGCATTGCACCCCAGGGACCCATGGTCCGGTTTGCTTGCTCATACGTGCTCGTGTGCCTAAATGAACCAAAAACACCCGCCTTTTTATTTCTTGCTCATTCTTGCTGATGCCGTGCCCGTGCCCCGTTCCTGTCGCATCACCACTCCTCTTACACACACACACACACACCTGTGCACTCCCATCATCGTAATTTTTTGCGGTGATCGTTTTCTTGTTTGACTCATTTTTAGGCTCGCCCGTGGCCAGTTCTCTTCTTTGTTATTTTATGTTTTTGCTTGTACACGTGACTCGTTTACCCACGTGATCTGAATGTTTGTTGCGAATCTCGTTCACTTTTTGTTCGGATCGAATTGCGCAAGCGGATAGACAAAGCAAAGTTCACAGTCTGGTCTGGTTTATGGCGTAGCTCCAATCTACAATCGACAGTCGTTCATGCTCGTGTGTCACGTGATTTTTGCGTGTTGCTCTCTTTTTTTCTCGACCAAATTCCATCGCCAAGCTCATCGGTGTCATCTACAACCATAGTTAACAAACGTTTTTATGATAGGTAACCAGTGCGATCAGAGTGTAATGTACACAGGAAAACTANTTTTGTGAAATGTTATTTATCGACCACGCAAATCGTCCAATCTCGCGCGCGAGATTAGAATCAAGGGTATTGCAAGCAGAACGCCAGTCTATCACCCAGTTGACCAGCTGCTCGGGCTGATTCAGCGAACTGTTGGGGAGTATACAAACTCTGAATAAATTTTTAACGATCCAAAGCTAGTCTGATAGATTGTACGTCTGACTGTGTAGAACAAAAAAAAAACATTATGGGTAAAGAGACGGGGACGTCAGACACAAATACCCATTCGCTGGAATGGTTGAAATGTTATCCTGCACTACTCTGGCAATTTTATCCTGGGTGACTGTTTTCATTTGTTTACCTAAGCCTCAGTATAGTTGGGGATGGATGTCTCGAGTTGCGGCTGGTCACCTTGCCCTTGCACCTAGCAAAATGTTCCTATACGCCACCAAACGTCTCAAATAGCCCATGCTGCGAAAGCCCTATGCACTCACTGTCCTCTCGTGGCTGAGGTGTTTTCCTACCAAAGTGAAGGGACGACATCCGGGGCTATAATCGGGTTGGTGGTTCACCTAGGGGAGTTGATCAAAAACCCTGATTCCAAACCAACCATGAGGAGGCGTACGAATCACATCCACACCTTTTCGGTTGTGGCAATGGTCACCGGCATCGAGGTATATTGGGCACCTTGGACTTTTGACCCCGTCCGAGAGGCGTATGATCCGATGTTCTGGATGCCGGCTCCCAATGGAT